TGGGGGTGCCAGGGGGGCAGTTGGGGGTCCCGGAGGGACAGTTGGGGGTCTCGGGGGCTCTGCGGGTGCCACGCTCAGCTCTGCTCTGTAGGGCAGCCGGTGCCCCCCCCATGGCTCTGCATCGTGCGGCCGCCCCGCTCCTGCGGCCCGGCCTGCGGGGGCTGCGCAGAGGCAGCACCGCCCCCCCCCACGGTGAGTGCGGGATCCCTGGGCCCTCTTTGTCCCCCCGTGTCACTGCTGTCCCCACACCCACCGGTGCCACCACTGTCCTTCAGCGTCCCTGCTGTCCCATGGGTGTCCCTGCTGTCCCTTGGTGTCCCCGCTGTCCCATGGGTGTCCCTGCTGTCCTTCAGTGTCTCTGCTGTCCCTGCCACCCCGGGGCTGTAGTCACCATGTCCTTGCTGTCGCTCGGTGTCCTTGCTGTCCCATGGGTGTCTGTGCTGTCCCACGCTGCCCCTCGGTGTCCCTACTGTCCCATGGGTGTCCCCACTGTCCCTCTGTGTCCCACGCGGTCCCATGGGTGTCCCTGCTGTCCCATGGGTGTCCCCGCTGTCCCACACTGCCCCTCGGTGTCCCTGCTGTCCCATGGGTGTCCCTGCTGTCCCATGGGTGTCCCCGCTGTCCCACACTGCCCCTCGGTGTCCCTGCTGTCCCATGGGTGTCCCCCGGTGTCCCATGGGTGTCCCCCGGTGTCCCATGCTGTCCCCCGGTGTCCCATGCTGTCCCCCAGTGTCCCTGCTGTCCCCCGGGTGTCCATTCTATCCCACACTATCCCAGGGTGTCCCTGCTGTCCTGTGGGTGTCCCCACTGTCCCACACTCTCCCCGCTGTCCTATGGGTGTCCCCGCTGCCCCGCGGCGCAGCCGCCTGTCCCCGCGGGCGCAGAGCCCTTCTCGTGGCAGGACCCGCTGCGGCTGGAGGAGCAGCTGGCGCCCGACGAGCGGCTGCTCCGCGACACCCTGCGCAGCTACTGCCGCCAGCGGCTGCAGCCCCGCGTGGTGGGCGACGCGCGCGACCAAGGTGCCCCTGCACCCGGCCCCTGCGCCCACCCTGAGCCCCCCAACCCTCGGAGCCGCGCTTGGCGCCCCCAAATCCCCTGGGAACCCCCCACCTCCCTGTGCCCACCTTGAACCCCCTGTACCCCCTACACCCACCTCAACTCCCTTACACCCCCATAGCACCTGCTACACCCACCCCGATTCCCCTGCACCCCCTACACCCACCCTGACCTCCTGCACCCCGCTAGCGGCTCCTACAGCCTCTACAATCCCCCTATCAGCCCCTACAGCCACCCCAACCCCCCTCTACCCCTCTGCAGACTCCCCAATAGCTCCATTTACACCTAGGGATCACAGGTGCCCCCTGGTCCCGCTCCCTCCAACAACCTCAGATACCCCCCCAGAATCCCCCAGGAACCTCCAGATACCCCCTGCCNCCCCCTGTAGGAACCCTAGATTCCCTCTGATCTGCCTGCTCTCCCTCCTCTGCAGTTTTCCGCAGGGAGATCCTGACTGAGCTGGGGGAGCTGGGGGTGCTGGGCGCCACCATCAAAGGTGAGTGGGGAAGGAGGGACAGGGTGCTGGTGGGGCCCGCTGTAGGTCCCGCTGTGGGTCCCACCGTGGGTCCCGCAGCAGGTCCCCGCACGTGACGGTGCCCCCGGCAGGGTACGGCTGYGCGGGCGCCTCGGCAGTGGCCTACGGGCTGGCAGCGCGGGAGCTGGAGCGCGTGGACAGCAGCTACCGCTCGCTGTTCAGCGTGCAGAGCTCGCTCGTCATGCATGCGCTGGCCGCCTACGGCTCCGAGGAGCAGCGGCGCCGCTACCTGCCCGCCCTGGGTGAGCCAGGGGTGCGGGGGGCGCAGGGGGCTGTGCGGTGCAGGGGCTGTGGGGTGCGGGAGCTGTGGAGGATCTGTGTAGTGAGGGGGCTGTGGGGTGCGGGAGTTGTGGGGCATAGGAGCTGCGGGGTGCAGCAGCTGCGGAGGATCTGTGGGGCGCTGCGGGACACACGGGGTCTGGGGGTCCCGCAGGGGCCGCAGCGCSGCCACCCGGTCCCCGCTGACCCCCRTCCCCCCAGCGCGGGGGCAGCTCCTGGGCTGCTTYGGCCTCACGGAGCCCAACCACGGCAGTGACCCGGGCGGCATGGAGACGCGGGCGCGCTACGACGCGGGTGCACGCACCTACCGCCTGCGTGGTGCCAAGACGTGGTGAGCGCCGGCACGCGGCCCCCCGGCACGTGGCGCCCACCCGCGCTTATCCGCCGCCCCCCAGGATCACCAACGCGCCCGTGGCCGACCTGTTCGTGGTGTGGGCGGCGGGTGAGGAGGACGGGCGCGTGCGCGGCTTCGTGCTGGAGCGTGGCACGCGTGGGCTGCACACAGCGCCCATCGGCGGCAAGCTGGCGCTGCGCGCCTCCTGCACCGGCACCATTGAGCTGGACGATGTGGAGGCGCCGAGCGACGCGCTGCTGCCCGGCGCCCTGGGGCTGGCGGTGAGTGGGGACACGGGTGACACCCGTGCGGTGACACCTGCACACTGGGGCTCCCAGGGAATGGGGACACGGGTGACACCCGTGCGGTGACACCTGCACACTGGGGCTGGCATGAGCGCTGTGATGCCCGCGTGGTAGCAGCCGTCCCCGGGTGACACCCCGCACCCCGCGCAGGGCCCCCTGGGCTGCCTGGACAGCGCGCGCTACGGCATCGCGTGGGGCGCGCTCGGCGCCGCCGAGGCCTGCCTGGAGACCGCGCGCCAGTACGTCCTGGACAGGTAGGGACAGTACGGGGGTGGCATGGGGACAGTACGGGGACACTGCCACTCCACGGCATCCCCYGGCGCAGGAAGCAGTTTGGGGCGCCGCTCGCTCGCAACCAGCTGGTGCAGAAGAAGCTGGCAGACATGGTGACGGAGATCGCGCTGGGGCTGCATGCCTGCCTGCGCCTGGGGCGCCTCAAGGACGAGGGCAGGTAGCGCACGCGGCCCCACGTGTCCCCTGTGTCCTTGCCATGTCCCCACAGTGTCCCCCCGCGTCCCCGCTGTGTTGCCACATGCCCACTGTGGCTCCCCACATCCCCGCTGTGTTGCCATGTCCCCTGTGTCCTTACCACATCCCCACTGTGTCCCCCCACATCCCTACTCTGTCGCTGTGTCCCCTGTGTCCCTGCCACGTCCCCACAGTGTCTCCCCACGTCCCCACCGTGTCCCCGCTGCACGCTCAGTGCCTCCCGCGGCAGGGCCACCCCGGAGATGGTGTCCATGCTGAAGCGCAACTCGTGTGGCAAGGCGCTGGAGGTAGCACGGCAGGCGCGCGACATGCTGGGTGCCAACGGCATCAGCGACGAGTACCACGTCATGCGGCACGCGCTCAACCTGGAGGCCGTCAACACCTACGAGGGTGACGCAGGCACCACTGTGGGGCCAGTGCGGGGCAACGCAGATGCCCCCCGCGCTCACACGTGCCCCTGCCCACAGGCACCCACGACATCCATGCGCTCATCCTGGGCCGGGCCATCACAGGCATCCAGGCATTCTCAGCTGAGAGGGCGCCGCGGCGCGTGGCAGGCACCGACAGAGCATAGCGAGCCGAGCGCGCCCATGTCTTCCAAACGCTGTAATGTCTCCCGAAGGCGCCGCTGTCTCCCGCGCGCACTGCCATCGCTGCTGTCCTCACGCTCCCTGGCAGGGCGCAGGGAAGCGAGCGTTGCGGCCGCTCCTCGGTGCCACCGTGGGGCAGGCGGCGCCCACAGGCGCCAGGGCAATAAAGCGCGTGGAAGGCGGCACTGGGGCCGCTCACCCTTTATTGCAGCGCTCAGGGCTCGGGCTGCAGGCAGAGGTCGCGGTAGGCGGCCTCGAGCGCGCGGCAGGCGCGCCGCAGCTCGCTCTGCAGCTGCGCGATTCGCTCGGTGGCGGCGGCCAGCTCGCGCAGACGCTCCTGGATGAGCCCGTTGTGCGCGTCGTAGAGGCTGAAGAGCCGCTCCTCCAGCTGCTCTGCCAGCGCTGACACCTGCGCCGCGCACAGGGACACGGCCGGAGCGTGCGGGCAGCTGCGCCCACCACCGCCAGCTGCTCCCCTGTCCCCAAGCCCTCTTCGGGGCTGGGGCCGCGGGCGCTCACCTTGAGCAGGAGGCTCTCACGGAAGCCGCTCATGACGGCGTGGTCAGCCTTGCGGCTCTCGTTGACCTTGTCGACGAGGTGCTGCGCGCGCTGTCGCAGACCCCCCACGCTGCCGGCCAGCGCCGCRAACGCGGAGGTGCCGGGCGCCGCGCCGGGGCTGCGGGGAGCAGTGAGGGCTGCAGCGGCTGGCACCCCGGTGGGCAGTCCTGGCCACGAGCGGTGCTGGGGGCTCCGCTTAGCAGCTGTTAGTCAGTTAATTGTGCTAATCAGTGCTGATGCCCTCACGACCACACTGGCTCGCTTGGTCTGCAATGCCTCATTGCAGAAGGGGAGGCCGCCTGACGGCTGCATCCTGGCAGAGCTGGCAGCTTCCGATGGYGGCGCCGTTGGGAAGCGGCAACAGCCGGAGGGCAGCAGCTGATGCCGGCGGCCACGGGCAGCGCAGGGCAGGCACGCGAGCGAGTGGCGGCTGCGGCCCTGCGCGCTCTGGGCAGCCGCTCCCTCCAGAACCCACACGGGGAACAGGCCCTTCCGCACCACTTCCCACATTGGAATATGCGGAAAAAACATGGAAAAGCACCACTGTGGCAGGGGAATGTGTGTCCTGGAGCGACWCCAGGAGCATACAGCACAGAGTGGCACAGCCAAGAGGAGCCAGGTCCCCCCGGGCCACCATTCTGCAGCCCATCCTCTTTGTTTCTTGGTGTGGGAAGCAGCCTAACGATTGGGGCTCTTAACGAAGAGCCCGTGGCTTCTTCCACCACAGCCTCCCGCTCGCTCGGGCCGCTCACCTGGCAGGGAGATCCCCGCCGCCAGCTGCAAAGAAGGGGCCGTCGAGCGGCGCCGCCTCCGCCTGCAGCTCCTCGTCAGCGCCCTCCTCGTCGGCCGCTGCCGCCTGCGGAGCGAGGTGCAGGCCGGGCTGAGTGTGTGGGGCCCCAGTGTCCGAGCACCTGGCCCACGCGTTGCTTCGGCGCTTCTGCTTTACTGGGGGCGGCTGCTTCTCGCCGGTTGCTCCTGCAGCACCTACAGGAACAGGGGCCGAGTGACTAACGGGAAGGGCAAATGTCCAGCAGAGGAGCCCAAAATCCCCTTTTCTTCCCTAAAGAAACCACCCCCCCTCCCGCCTTGACCTTTTTTCTGGCTTGTTTCCGTCCCTGACACACAAAGCCCCTTCCTAAAGCACCTTGGTGCCCATTTTGTCCTAGGATGCAACCCAGGAGCAGCTCACGGTTCCCCGAGGGCCCCCTTTGGTTAAATCCGTGCCMATAATCCAGGTGCAAACGCGGCCAGTGCTGCAAGGGCCCTGGAGGCGGCTGCAAACTTGGCGGCTCCAGCAGGCGCACGAGGAGGGGGCTGCAGTGGCCTCCCCCAGGCCCCCCTTATCCCAAATCACCACCTGGCAGCGGCTGCTTTTACCCCCCAAATCCCCCATATCCCAAATCAGCGCCTGGCAGCGGCCGCTTGTACCTCGGTTCACAGGCGGCGGCGCCCCCCGCGGCCAAAGTGGCTCCTCGAAAGCTGGAAGGAGGTTAATTGGGAAAGACAAAAACCCAGTTAGCGGTGACTCGGTAATTACTTAGAGCCTGGAAGGCAGCTYGAGGCTACAGCTTCCCAAGACCCCCTGGGCCCTCCCGCTCCATAACAAACTGTGGGGAATGTTCGTCCCTGGCATTGACAGGTTATTGCAGAGCCCTAATTTTCCTTTACAAAACAAAGGGAGGTTAAAAGCAATGAACAGAGGTGCCAACGCGCGACTTGGCACTGTACAAAGACAGAGGCAACAAGTGTTCCTCTCTATTTTCACTGCTGTCGAGTTTCTGCCATCATGTTGGTGCCACAGGACAGGGCTTTGGGTTTGTTCCTGTATTTTAACCCTGCAAGCCGCATCCCCCCAGCCCTCCTGCCGTCCTCGCGCCTCACCCGCCATTTTCCCTCAGCGGCCTCGCGGAGGGGCGGGCCCGGGCGGCGACGGGCACGCGCACCGGCCAATCAGCGCCCGTCGCGGGAGCGGCTCCGCCAATGGGAGGGCGGCGCGGGAAAGGGTGGGCAGGGCGGTGCCGTGAGGGGAAGGGGGACGCGACAAGGGGATGCGCGTGGGGACGCGGGGGCACGCGAGGGGAGACGGGGCCAGCACGAGGAAAAGGGGGGGCATCTGGGGCGGAGAAGCCGGGTGGAGGTCAAGGGGAGACATTTCGGCATGAAGGAACCGGCATGAGGGCAGACGGGGGCGGTTCGAGGGGGAACACGGGACAATTGGGGAGAGGGGCGCCAGGCTGAGGTGACAGGAGACGTTTTGGGGTGACCAGACCCATCTGAGGGTAACGAGATGTCCTAGAGGAGGACGAGGCAAGGAAGAACGTGTTAGGGTGACAGGAACACCCTGCAGAAAGGGGGACATGTTGAGGTCACAGGAACAGCCTGTGGAAAGCGGGGCGTGTGRGGGTGACAGGAACACCCTGTGGAAAGAGAGATGTGCGGGGTGACAGGAACACCCTGCAGAAAGGGAAACGTGGGGGTGACAGGAACACCCTGTGGAAAGGAAGAACGTGTTGAGGTGACAGGAACACCCTGTAGAAAGGGGGACATGTTGGGGTGACAGGAACACCCTGNACGTGTTGAGGTGACAGGAACACCCTGTAGAAAGGGGGACATGTTGGGGTGACAGGAACACCCTGCGGAAAGGGGGCACGTGTTGAGGTGACAGGAACACCCTGCGGAAAGGGGGCACGTGTTGAGGTGACAGGAACACCCTGTGGAAAAGGGGACATGTTGAGGTGACAGGAACACCCTGTGGAAAAGGGGGACGTGTTGGGGCAAGGGAAGCAGCTTGAGGTGGAGCCAGGAGCTGCCTTGGGGTAACTCAACCAGGCTGAGGCGGAGGGACAACGTGGCGCAGGGGGGACGACGTGGGGACCGCGTGGGGACAAGGCGGGGCATGGAGCTCCGCGTGGGGGGGCCGTGTCCAGCGGCGCCGGGCAGCCCACCCGCCGGCGCTCGGGCCCCGTCGCCACTGGCGGGAACCGGGCGGGCGCCCCCGTGCGGCGCGTGATGGAGCCGCGCGCCCCGCGCATGCGCCGGCCGCGCCCCGCGCTGCCCCGCGGGAGGCGCCCGCGCCCCGGCTCGTTGGTGCCGCTGCGTTCACCAACGCGCCCGGATCCCCCATGAAGGGCGCCTGGCTCCCTTGTTAGCGCACGGAGCTCCCGCCAGCCCCGTTGGCGCACTGGGCTCGCGCCGTCCTCATCAGTGTGCTGGGCTCCTGTTTAACACACCRAGCTCACACCATGCCCCCACTAACACGCCAAGCTCACACTGTCCCCCCATTAACAGGCCAAGCTCCCCCACATGCAGACAACCGCTGGCTGCAGGCCTTTATTGCGCCGCCTCCCTCCCCCGCACTGGGGGACACAGGGAGAGGGGCCACACGCCAGGGCACACCAAGGGATAAGGGGCCCCTGTCCCTCCTCGCAGAGCAGGGGCCACCCCCTAGGGGACAGGGTCCACCACGGAACAGGGGCCCCCGTCCCTCCTGCCCTCAGGACACAGGGGACACTGGGGGACAGGGCCCCTGTCCCTCCTGCCCACCTGCTAGGGGACAGGGGACACTGAGGGATGGGGTCTCCGTCCCTCTCGCCCGCTAGGGGCCAGGGGCTGCCGGGGCCCCGCTAGGTGTTCAGGCGGCACAGGGGGCTCTCGTAGACCATCTGCAGGTTCACGCGGTGCCCCACGAGCTCACGGATGTTCTTGATGCCGTATTTGATCATGGTGGGGCTGCGGGGACACCGGTGTCAGCGGGGAGCGGGGGACACTGCAGTTACCCCGCCCCGTTGCCATGTCCCCACTCACCGCTCCAGTGAGAGCCCCCACGCGATGACGCTGACATCCTCGGGCAGCCCCATGGGCAGCAGCAGCTCCGGCCGGAAGACGCCCGAGTTCCCAACCTCCACCCAGCGCTTCAGCCCTGGGGGGCACGGGGTGAAGGGCACGCAGGACCCCCCATCTGACCCCAAAGGTGCACCTGGACCCCCCCACATCGGGTCCCAAACAGGCACCCGGGACCCCTCCCATCGGACCCCACAGAGGCACCAGGAACCACCCCCACTCAGGCACCCAGAGACACGCCCCACCCTGTTAGGACACCCAGAGTCCCCCAGGGACCAATGGCCCCCTCCAAAGACAGCCTAGGTCCCCCCAGAGGGCACCCCCAATCCCATGGTGACCATGACTAGAGCAGCCCCCGCCCCCCCCCCCCATGTCCCCCCAGCCCCTTCCACCCTCCCCCATGTCCCTTCCCCATGTCCCACACCTGGGTGGTAGCTGAACACCTCCATGCTGGGCTCCGTGTAGGGGTTATAGGCCGGCTTGAAGCGCAGCTGCGTGATACCTGTGTGTCCGGGGAGGGTTCAGCGGGGCCCCCTCGCACCCCCCCGCCCTCCCCGTGTCCCCCCCGCACCCATCTTGCTGAAGAACTCCCTGAGGACACCCAGGAGGTGGCCCAGGGCCAGGCCGCGCTCGGCCACGACGCCCTCCACCTGGTGGAACTCGGCCAGGTGCGTGGCGTCGACCGCCTCGTTGCGGAACACACGCTCGATGGAGAACCACCTGCCAGGTGTGAAGGATGCCTGGGAACACGGGACATCGGGGGGTCACAGGGGGACAGCCGCCCCCCTCCCCCATGGGCGCCCCAGCTCCCCGCACCTGTTGCGCCAGGCGCTGCAGCAGGCGGGCGCTGCAGGCCGTGGTGTGAGTGCGGAGCAGGGTGCGGCGCGCGTCTGCCACGCGCCACTCGCTGCGGTACCTGCGGGACAGGGACATGGGCACATCGCCATGGGGACACAGGGACATGGGTACACTGCAATGGGGACAGTGGGGTGCAGTGCGCGTCCACCACGCACCACTCGCTGCGGTACCTGTGGGGACCCTGCGGGGACAAGTGCACACAGGGGAACACGGGGACAAGTGCACATGGGGACATCACCATGGGRACACTGCATTGGGGACACTTCCATGGGGGCAGCAGGGTAGAGCGCACGTCTGCCATGCGCCACTCGCTGTGGTACCCGCGGGATGGGGACATGGGGACACTGCAATGGGGGGGGCATCACGATTGGGAGCTGCCCCTGCGGGGGTGTCCCCACCCCAGGGTGTCCCCGCAGGGCTGTCCCCACCACGGGTGCCCCGCGCACCCTTGTGAGCCGTAGCCTCCCTGCGAATGGACCTTCTTGACCCTGCCCATGTAGCCAGGCGGCAGCTCCAGCGCCTCTGCCGGGTCTGGGGGGACAACGAGGGCAGGGGGTGAGCAGGGGGAGGCGCCAGACCCCCCCCTCCCCGTGTCCCCGTTCCTGCGCACCCTGCAGGAAGAAGGTGTCGTGCTGGTCACGCGCCGGGTGCTGCTGYGGCTGGAAGAGGGCGTCGAAGTTCCAGAAGGCGCTTTCCACGAACGAGTGCGTGGGCATCTCCGAGAAGCTGCGGGGGGCCCAGGGGGGGCACACGGGGACACCTGATGTGTGGGGTGTGTCCCCGCGCAGGATGTCCCCCGCATCAGGGGCCAGGGTCCCCRCCGCGGCACTCACCCCATCTCCAGGAAGATCTGCCGCAGCTGTGTCCGCACCTTGAGCAGCGGGTGCAGGTGGCCGCACTCGGGCGGCAGCCCCTGCGCCGCGAAGTTGTAGGGCTTGAAGGGGCGCTGGCGCCACGAGCCGCTGTAGGGACACGGCGCCATCACCGCCATGGGTGACGTCACCCCTGGCACCGTCACCCCCGGCGCCACCGCCCCAACAGGCGCTGCGGTGCTGTGGCACCCACGTGGCGATCATGTCGGGCGTCAGCTCCGTGTCCTGGCGCGTCACAGCCGTGCTGAACGCGCTGCCCTTGCGCAGCCAGTAGGACTTGAGGGTGCTAGCGGGGAAAGGGGGCGTCACTGCTGCCACCCGTGTCCTCTCCCGGCCCCCCGGTGTCACTCACACTTCAAGCAGCAGCTTGCGGCGCTTGAGTTCGGTGCGGTCACGCTCAGGCAGCCCGGCTGCGTCGCCCTGCTGCACCCGCCTCAGGCTGTCCTGCACCGCATCCTGCACCGCCGGCACCTGCGGGAAGGCACTGTATCACCGCAGGGACACCGGGCAGCGGCACTGTGGGAACATGGGATATGGGGACAGCGGCACCACGGGGACACCGGCACTGCGGGACACGGGAACCATGCAGTATCCTGCACCGCCGGCACCTGCAAGGGACATAGGGACACCGGGCAGCAGCACCGTGGGCCTGGGCATTGCGGGACATGGGGACCATGCAGCGTCCTGCACTGCGTCACTGCACCTACCACGGGGACAACGGGACCTGGGAACCACATGGCAGCACTGCGCGCACTGTGGGACATGGGGACCAGGCAGTGTCACCACAGAGACATGAGGACACAGGCACCGGCACTGTGGGGACACAGGGACAGGGCCGAGGTGGGCACTGCCACCATAGGGACACGGGCACCGTCAGCATCACTCAAGGGACACACGGGCAGGACAGAGCCCGGCTAGAGGAAACAGGCACAATAACAGAGCAGGAACAGGGGCCCACAGGGCTGTGCATGGAGCCTCGAGGACAGGCTCAGTCTGGGATAGGGACCCTGGGGACGGGGACCCTCGGGGACAGCCCTGGGTATGTGACGGGGACAATGGGGACAGCCCCAGGTGTGTGACGGGTGAGGGCTCCTCGGGGACAGCCCCAGGTATGTGACAGGGATGGGGACCCTTGGGGACAGCCCCAGGCGTGTGACGGGGTCATGGGGACAGGCGTGACTCACGGCGGGGAAGACGCGGGGGCCACCGGGCGCCTCCTTGTCCAACCGCAGCCACTTGTTGGCCATGGCCCTGCTGAAGCCGACACGGGCGCCAGGCAGCTCCTGCGCAGGGACACGGTGGCTCGAGGACGTCTCCAGGGTGTCCCCGGGGCGTCCCGGGGTCCCCAGGCCTCCCATACGCTCTCATGCATCCCCAAGGCGTCCCCAGGCTGTCTCCAGGGTGTCCCCCATGCATCCCAGATTGTCCTCATGCACCAAGAGTCCCCAGGGAGTCCTCAAGGGTGTCCCTGGGGTCCCCGGGGTGTCCCGGGTGTCCCCAGGTCATCCCCATGTACCTCGGGGGTCCCCAGGCCCCTGTGCATCCCCATGCACCCCCAGGTTGTCCCCAGGTCATCCCCATGTGCCCCAAGGTGTCCCTGAGTGCCCCGTGTCCCTGTGTGTTCCTGTGTCCCTGAGCACCTCCTATCCCTGAGCATCCCCTCCTGCCCCCATGTACCCCCAGGGTGTCCCCAAGCACCCTGTGTCCCCATGTACCCCCAGGGTGTCCCCATGTTCCCGAGTACCCCAGGGTGTCCCCGCATCCCTCACCATGAGCTGCGCCTGGGGCATCCCGTCGGGCGGCAGCGCGCGGAACAGCCGGACCTCGGGGCTGCCGGCGCGCGCCGCCTCCTCGCCCTCAGCACTCAGCTGCCAGCGCGTGGCCACGCGCGGCTCCGCCTCGATCACCTGCGGCACCGGCGTCCTCAGCACGGGGCGGGCACAGAGACGGGGATGGGGACAGGACGGGGATGGGGACAGGGATGAAGAAGGGACAGGGATGGAGTGGGGACAGAGAGGGGGACAGAGTGGGGACAGCAACAGGCAGCGAGTGTGGATGGGGCGTGAGCAGGTGTGGGATGGCATGGGAGCAGCCAACGGGAAGGGAGCTGGGAAGGGAGCTGGGATGGAACCACGGAACAGGAACCAGGAATGAGATCAGGGAGAGGGAACCGGAACCAAAGGATCAGGGAACGGGATCAGGGAGTGGAAACTGGCACCAGCCACCGGGAGCTGGGACCAGCACCGGGAAGCAGCAGGGAGCCGCGCACGGGCAGTGGGAGCAGCACCGGAACCGGCCCTGGAACCGCCCCGGGCCCCGGAACAGGCACCAGAACCGCCCCGGGCTCCGGAACCCGCCGCGGACCCCGGAACCGGTGCCAGGCACCAGAACCGGCGGCGCGCGCGCACCTCGCCCAGCGCCTGCAGGCTCTTAACGGCCCCGACCAGCGCCTGGTGCTCGAGGCCGAGCGCGGCGGCCGCCTCGAGGCTGCAGAGGCCGCCGCCGGGCCCGGCCTCGGGCTCGCGCTCCAGCCGCCGCAGCAGCAGCTCGGCCACGCTGGGAGACATCGCCGCACCGGAAGTGTCGCCGCCGCCGCGCCGGAAGCTCACCCGGGCACGGGGGCGACCCTCGGGCGAAGGCGGCGCCATGCTGGGAGGGGGTGGTACCGCCAGCGCCATCTTAAGTGTGGCGAGAGCCCTCCTCCCCGGCCCGCCTCTGGTGGTTCGGTCGGCATTACGTCATCAGGCACTGGATTGCCATAGCAACCGACACTGAAGGTACCACGGCTAGCAAGGAAAAAGTGATTGCTACAACCGCAACTCTAGGTGGTCTCCCTCCGTTGCCATAGCAACAGCCCCCTCAGCGCCTTCATGCGTTGCCATGGAAMCCMCCCCCCCCCAATTTCCATGTCTGTAACCACGAGAACGGCAACCAAGGGGCACGTCGCCATGGCAACGCGATAGGAAGAATGCACCTATCACTGCCCCTCTCAGCTTTGATGCTCTTTAGTGTTCCGCAGGCTATGACGTGATCAAGACCAACGACACTAMCATTGCATCACACTGCCATTTAAAGTCATATACCGCCTTGCTTGCAAAAGTGCCCCCCCCACTGCCCTCTCCCTGTCGTCCTGCTCCCTGTGCCCCGTGTCCCCCCCCCCCGTTGCTACTATGGGATGGCGACCACCTCTCCCGCCCCATGTGCTCGGCCTGGTCCTTTAAGAGCGCCCGGTCCCACGTGACCCTGAGAGCAGGTGACGCAGGGCGCGGAAGGAGGCGGGGGGAGCGGTATGGGAGGGAAGGGGGGGCGTCTCCCGCCGAACGCGTGGTCGCTCCTCATTGGCCCTCACGCTCCACCAATGGGAAGCAGCCATCTGGGACGCCAACGTTCGGGGGAGCCGCCGAAGCCGGAGAGGGAGCGAGCACCCAATGAGAGTGGGCTGCTCGCGAGTGCGGACCAATGGAGTGCGCGCAGGGGCGGGTCGAGGGGCCGAGGCCGTATAAAAGGCGACTCCGCCGCCGCCCCCCTCCGCAGTGTGTGGGCGCCGCCAGGCCGCGCAGGGACGAGTGTCTTAAAGGGCCAGGCGCCCCCCCCCCCCGCGCACTGTGTGACACCCCGGCGACATGAGCCCCCTTGGCGCCGCCGTCCTGCTCGGCGTCCTCGTGGCGCTCGCTGCGGCCGAGCCCACCGAATACTTCCGGGAGGAGTTCCGCGATGGAGGTGAGGAGCGACGAGGGTGGGCCCTGGGGGGGGCGCGGGGAGCGTTGGAGGCCGTTGGGGCCTCCCTCGGGCTGCAGGGGCCCGGGGGTTCTTGGGCTAGGCGCAGAGCCTGAGGGCCCCCCATCCGGGGCTGGGGGGGGGGGGCTTGGGGTCGTGGGGAGGATATTGGGTCGGAGGTGGGGGCAGTGAGATCCCCTGGGTGGGGTAAATGGAAGAGGATCCCCCCACCTTGCCTGGACTGGGAGGGCTCCCACTGGGGGGTTCTCTTGCCCTCAGGAGCAGCCTTGGGACCACCGCTCCCCGCCCTGCTCGGGAGGTGGATGCATGGGATTCCTGGAGCAGGAAGTCGTTGGGGGGGGGGGGGGGGAATCACATGGAATTCCCGGTTGCTGCGAGCAGATCCTGCTGGAGGGCGGGGGGCTGTGATGGACCCCCTCCTGGCCTGTCCCACTATATGGGGGCTTCCCAAGGTGTGTGTGTGGCGGGGGGGCTGGCTGTTCCATCCCACATCCATCCTGCAGCTATGGATACTTCTCCTGGCTCTCCACAATGGAGGAAGGAAGCCCCATGTGCCCGGATCTGCCCCCATCCCGGAACCCTGTGCAGCTCTTCCGGGGTCACGGGTTGGGGGGGGTGGGGGGGGGGCGGGTCCTGACTCTTCCCTGTCCCCCCCACTCTGCACAGATGCCTGGAGCAGCCGCTGGGTGGAATCCAAGCACAAATCTGACTACGGCAAATTCGTGCTGAGTGCCGGCAAGTTCTATGGCGACGCCGAGAAGGACAAAGGTAAAACCCACCCCACCCTGTGCTGGGGCCGTGTTGGCATCACGGAGCAACTCACGGTGCCCGCACACCCGCAGGCATCCAGACGAGCCAGGACGCGCGCTTCTACGCGCTCTCGGCGCGCTTCGAGCCCTTCAGCAACCGTGGCAAGACGCTGGTGCTGCAGTTCACCGTGAAGCACGAGCAGAACATTGACTGCGGCGGTGGCTACGTGAAGCTCTTCCCGGCTGCACTGGAGCAGGCCGACATGCACGGCGACTCCGAGTACAACATCATGTTTGGTGCGTGTGCTGCATCCGCGCGGGCGGTGCTGGGCGACAGCGGGTGACGCTGGTGGCTTTTGTCACAGGCCCTGACATCTGCGGACCCGGCACCAAGAAGGTCCACGTGATCTTCAACTACAAGGGCAAGAACGTGCTCATTAACAAAGACATCCGCTGCAAGGTGTGTGATGGCGTGCGGCCGCGGCGCTGTCCCCACGGGACGACGAGTCACCCATGTCCCCACATCCCCCTGCGCCGGCCACTGGTGCTCATGGTGTCATCATCTGCAGGATGACGAGTTCACACACCTGTACACACTCATCGTGCGCCCTGACAACACCTATGAGGTGAAGATTGACAACAGCCGTGTGGAGAGCGGCGGCCTYGAGGATGACTGGGACTTCCTGCCCCCCAAGAAGATCAAGGACCCAGCGGCCAAGAAGCCCGATGACTGGGACGAGCGTGCCAAGATCGACGACCCCGAGGACAGCAAGCCCGAGGTGACKGGCGCTGGAGGGTGACACGGGAGCTGGTGAGGCATGGCACTGCACCCTGCCCCCCAACCTGCTCCTGCTGTTTTGTCAGGATTGGGACAAACCCGAGCACATCCCGGACCCGGACGCCAAGAAGCCGGAGGACTGGGACGAGGAGATGGATGGCGAGTGGGAGCCCCCCGTCATCCAGAACCCTGAGTACAAGGTGGGGCGCTTGGGTGTCACGGCAGTACCACCGGGGGGTTCAGCCGCCTCACTCCCCCGTTTTCCCCCCGCCAGGGTGAGTGGCGGCCACGGCAGATCGACAACCCCGACTACAAGGGCAAGTGGGTGCACCCCGAGATCGAGAACCCTGAGTACCAGCCTGACCCCGATCTCTACGCTTACGACAGCTTTGGTGTCCTYGGCCTCGACCTCTGGCAGGTGGGGGCCATTGGGGGCACCCCTGCCCTGTTTCGCTTGTGGGGGGGCTCCTGGTGACACTGCCACCCCTGTGGTGACAGGTGAAATCGGGCACCATCTTCGACAACTTCCTGCTCACGGATGACGAGAAGCTGGCGGAGGAGGTCGGCAACGAGACCTGGGGGGCCACCAAGGTGAGGGGGGGTTGCTAATGTCTTGGGGGGGGGCTGTAACCTCTGCCCGGGGTCGGGGCATGTCTATRGGGGGAACAAAGATACAGGGGTGTCATTTTATGAGGAGGCAACAAGGGGGGCAGCTCCTACTTTGAAGGAGGGGGGGATCCCCTACTTTAGAGGGGGTTTTGTGGTCGCCTGTTTCCCTATAGGGGGCACCAAGGTGGTGGGGGGGTGTGGGGGGGTATGACTCCTTCTCCAGACTCCCTATGGAGGGGTTTCCTCGTCCCCCCACAGCCCTTCTGGATTTGGGGGGGGAGCTTCCTACTGCCCCTCCCCTCACCCCCTTTGGGCCTTCCTCATTGCCCTGCAGGGCGGGGGGTGACGGTGCTGGGGGTAGTGACCGTGCTGACCCCCGCCTCCCCCCAGGAGGCGGAGAGGAAGATGAAGGAGCAGCAGGATGAGGAGCAGCGGCGGCAGCAGGATGAGGAGGACAAGAAGCGCAAGGAGGAGGAGGATGACGATGGCGACGAGGAAGGTGACGAGGACGAAGAGGACGAGGACGATGGCGGCGACAAGGACGACGAGGCGGGGGCCGCCCTCAAGGACGAGCTGTGAGGGGGGCAGCCCCCCGTAATGTCTCTATGAGACGGGACTCTCGACTCTTTGTTTTTTATGGGCGTTGCCCCCTGTCCCCGCGTGGCCCCGGCTCCCTGTCACCAGGCCCCTCCCCCCCCGTTAACGATTCTCTCCCCCCTCCCCGCGCTCCGGGGCGGGGGGCGCGGCCGGGGCTGACTCAGGAAGGGCCGCGGGGGGAGGGGGCTGGGGGAGGGGAGGGGCGCGGCGAGGCGCACGGGAAGGAAGGAATGAATGTACAGAAGAAAAAACTCGAACAACCGCCACAAAAAAAACTGTTTTCGATTAAATTAAACCTCGTTGCTCCCCCCTCCCCGCGCGATTCCGCTTGTGTCCTTCGCGCCATGTTCCGCGCGGCGCCGCCATTTTGTGTGGGTCCTCCGCTCACGTGACGCCGCCGTCACGTGCGGGAGGGGGCGGGGCGGGCGGGGCGGTTCCGGCGCGGCGGCGGAAGCGGCGCGGCGCGCACAAGATGGCGGCGGCGTGAGTTGCATGTCGCGCGCGCGGTCGCAGCCGCCATGGCGGTGACGGTGACGCTCAAGACGCTGCAGCAGCAGACGTTCAAGATCCGCATGGAGCCCGACGAGACGGTGCGGGGCGGGGCGGCCCGTCATGGCGCGGGGAGGGAGCTCCCGTCATGGCGTGGGGGGGGCGCCGGGGCCCCCGTCATGGAGCGGGGGGGGAGGGAGGGGGCTCCCATCATGGGGGGCTCCCATCATGGCGGGGAGGGCGCGCCTGTCGTTGGGGGGGGTCTGTCGCTGTCACCCCTCGGTTGTTCTTGGAAGGGGAGGTCTGTGATTTCTTGCCCCCTCCTTGTGTTTTTGGGCCCTCCCCCGCCCCCCCCCGAAGCCGGTAAGATTTTGCCCCTTGCCTTCCCTAGGCGAGCCCGGGGGGGGAGGCGCTGGGAATCCCCTGCCTCTTATAAGGCGGTTTGTGCGGCGGGCGGGGGCACTTGGGCCCCCCCAAAGGGTAGTTGGGGGGCACTGGGAGCTCCCCCAAATGTGGGGGGGGATCTTGGGTCCCCCCGTGTTACACAGGGGGTTGTGCCCCCTCCACACCCTTTTAGTGTCATTTGGGGGGGGGTCTTGTTGCCCCCCCCCCCTAACCCAGGGGGTTCTGTGATCTGCGGGGGGGGCTCTAAGCCGCTTTTTGTTATTGGGAGGGGGGGAGCGGGGGGGGGGGGTGCAGGGGTCCACGGGGAGGGCCGAGGCTGCCACTTGGGAGGGGGAAAATATTGTGACCCACCCTGCTCCCCCCCCCAGATGAGAACAGCCCGCAGCCCCCATAACCCCTGTGAGCACCAGGGGGGCCACATGGCACAGCTGGGGGGAGGTCTGGTGTGTCACAACTTGGGGGGGGCTACGCTGCACAGCCCATTTTGGGGGGTCCCATCTGGCAGATCCTGGGGCTCCCGTGCGGCTCAGCCTGTTTTGGGGGGGGCCATACGGCTCGGATAATGAGGAGCTCTGTGCGGCTCAGCCCCTGGGGGGGGCCACATGGCTCAGCTGGGAGGGGGGCCCACGCGGTCACCTGTGGGGTCTCCCCGCTCACGTGCGGCGGCCCCAGGTGCGGGCGCTCAAGGAGAAGATCGAGGCGGCCAAGGGCCGCGACGCCTTCCCGGTGGGCGGCCAGAAGCTGATCTACGCGGGCAAGATCCTGAGCGACGACGTTCCCATCCGCGAGTACCGCATCGACGAGCGCAACTTCGTCGTTGTCATGGTCACCAAGGTGACAGCCCGCACCGCGGGGACACCCCCTGCACGCGCACACGCACACACACACAGAGACCCCACTGGGGACAACACCCTGCGGGGAAACCTCCCCCCCCACAGATACACACCCGTGGTGCTGGGGCACCCCGCACATACACGTGCACACACCCCTGGCTGGGGACAACCCCCCCCACACATACACACACCCGCACTACTGGGAAACTGCGTGCGTGCGCACACACACATACACCCTGCTGGGGACAACACCCTGCTGGGGTCAACAGCCTACTGGGGACAGTGTTCCCCCATTGGAGAACCCCCCAGGGACACCTTCCCCACACCTGCCACCCCCCCCGCTGGGGGACACCCCCCCCAATTGCTGCTTCCTCCCCCCAGGCCAAGGCTGCGGCACCTCCCTCGGGCAGCGCCGCCCCCCCTGCGGCCCCCCCTGAGGCCACAGAGCCGGCGCCCGGGCCGCCCTCAACGGCTGAGGCGGCCCCCCCGCCACCCCCGCTGCCCCCCGCCGCCCCCCCCAGCGAGGAAAAGCCACCTCAGGACCCCCCACCCGTGGCCGCTGCGGAGCCGCCAGTGGGGTAAGGACGGGGGGCAGAATTTGGGAGGGGCACAGTTTGGGGGGGGCATCTTTGAGGGGGGCACAATTGTGGGGACGCAGTTTGGGGGGGCACAACTTGGGGGGCACAGTTTGGAGGTTTCTTTGCTTTTTGCATCGGTCTCCTGGTTGCGGGGGTCGTCTGCTGCTCCTGGGGTTGTAGGAATTTTTTTTGGGGGGTGGAAACAAAACTGGGAGGGATTGGGGGTTGTTGGGGCAAATGGAGGGTGTGGGAGGGTCACCCTTTCAMCCCCCCCTGTGTCTCTTCGTCCACAGCTCTGGCCCCGCCCCCCCCAGCGGCGGGGGCCGCTCGGCTGACGCTGCCTCCACCCTCGGTGGGTGCATGGGGGAGGGGGTGCGGGGGGGTTCCTGGGGAGGAAGTGACGGGGTTTGGAGGAGGGGGAGTAGGGATGGGCAGGGGGGAATTGGGTGGGGCCTGTGGTGGGAGGGGTCCCTACTGGAAAAGAGGGGGATGGGGGAAAATGGGAAAAGGGGGGGTGGCAAAGAGGGGTTGGGGGTCCCCATGGGGAGAGTCGGGAGGTGTTGGAGGGGTGATGCTGGTGGGGAGGTGAGGTTGTCGGGGGGGTACAGGGAGGATGATGCCGTTGGTGCCCCCTCCCCGCCCCCCGCAGTGACGGGTTCGGAGTACGAGACGATGGTGGCCGAGATCATGTCCATGGGCTACGAGCGGGAGCGCGTGGTGGCCGCGCTGCGGGCCAGCTACAACAACCCGCACCGCGCTGTGGAGTACCTGCTCACGGTGACACGGGGACACGGGGGACATGGGGACACGGGGAGACCTGGGGGGACAGGGGGACAGCAGCTACAACAACCCGCACCGCGCCGTGGAGTACCTGCTCACGGTGACACGGGGACATGGGGGACATGGGGACACGGGGAGACCTGGGACAGCAGGTACAACAACCCGCACCGCGCCGTGGAGTACCTGTCCATGGTGACACGTGGGGAACRTGGGGGASACGGGGACACACCAGCTACCACAACCTGCACCGCACCRCAGAGTACCTGCTCATGGGGGGACACAGGGACCTACCCACACAAGGGGCACATCCTGGGGCCCCCCTGGGCGGGCAGGCCCCCCTGTGCTGGGCGAGGGGGACAGCGGGACCCCCCTTCTAACGTCCCTTGTCCTCGTCCTACAGGGCATCCCGGGCAGCCCGGAGCCGGAGCGGGCGCCCGTGCAGGAGAGCCCAGCCACGGATCCGCCCCCCGCTGAAGGTGCCCAGGGGGGTGGGCTCTGGGGTGGCCCTGCCTCTCAGGGGGCGTGGTCTATCTGGGCGGTGCTTGCTGGTGTGCCCCCCTCCTGAGGGGTGTGGCCTGAGAAGTCTCCTCCCCCTGAATCGCGGGTGGGGGGTAGATCTTTATATGGGATGGGGGGTGCAGGGGGGGGTTCCTCCCAACAGGGGGCGTGGTTTGTGGGCTCATCTCCCATTGTGGGCGTGGTTTGGTAGTACCCAGGCTTGGGGTGTGGCTTGATTTAACTCCTCCCCAGGGAGGGGTTGGGTCTGGGCAGGCCCCTCCCCCAGGGAAAACAGGTATTGCAGTGGGTGTGGCATGTGTGTCCCTCCCATTTGGGGGCAGGGCTTGAGCCCCTCCYCCATCAGTCAATTCCTTATATGGGAGGGACCTTGGACTCCTCCCTCTCCAGCCTCCTTTTGGGGGTGTGGTCGAGCAGGCTCCTCTGGGAGGGTGTGGCCTGGACAGGCTCCTCCCCCATGGGGGGCACATCCCTTTGGCCGCAGAGCTTCCTTTTGAGCAGGCTCCTCCTCTTAGGGGGGGGGTCTTGTCCTGTCCCCGCCCCCAGGGCAGGGTCTGTGCTGACCCCCGCCCCATCCCTGGGCAGGGGAGAACCCGCTGGAATTCCTGCGGGAGCAGCCGCAGTTCCAGAACATGCGGCAGGTGATCCAGCAGAACCCGGCGCTGCTGCCCGCCCTGCTGCAGCAGCTGGGCCAGGAGAACCCCCAGCTGCTCCAGGTGGGGCCCGGGGCCTGGGGGGGCAGATGGATCCCGCAGGACCCCCCCTCAGCACCCCCTCTGTGTCCCCCCCGCAGCAAATCAGCCAACACCAGGAGCAGTTCATCCAAATGCTCAACGAGCCGCTGGGCGAGCTGGGTGAGCTGGAGGGCGAGGTGGGCGCCATTGGCGACGAGGCGCCACACATGAACTACATCCAGGTGACGCCCCAGGAGAAAGAAGCCATAGAGAGGGTAAGGAGAATGGTAGGGACCAGAGGTAACGCTGTGGTAGGGTGAGCGGGCGATTGTCCTCCTGGACAGCGTGCTGCCTSCTGTCTTGGTGCATTAGGCACCAGAGTTAACAGGGCTGGGGTGGAGGCAGCCATCCTTACGACTATCCTTAGGGGCCAGAGTGAACACTGTGTTGAGGTCGTGGTGACAGGGGGGCTCTTGGGTTACTGCCAGAGGTGCCACCCAAGCTGGCGCAGACAGCACTTCACAGCCACCCTTAGGTCCCAGGGCTAACAGGGAGCAGAGGTGACAGGAGAGCCCGGCGCGCCGCGGGAGGGGCGCGGGGCCCTCAGTAGGGCTCAGGGTGAACGCGCCGCCCGCAGCTGAAGGCRCTGGGCTTCCCCGAGAGCCTCGTCATCCAGGCCTACTTCGCCTGCGAGAAGAACGAGAACCTGGCGGCCAATTTCCTGCTGAGCCAGAACTTCGACGACGACTGAGGGGGGGATCACGCCGGGACCCCCGCCTGCCCCCAAAGCAGAATGGAGCACCCTGCGGGGGGGAAACAACCCCGCGCCGCCGCTGCCCCTTTAAGAGCCCCGCACGGGCGGGGCGCTTCATGGGGCCGCGGCCCCGCGGGGGCACCGCTGATTGGCTGAGCCGCCCACAACGCCCGCCCACTCCTAAAGGGGCGACGCGCTGGCGGGTGAT